AGGGTGGCATCTTCCCTGGCATGTTGTGGCCTTCCTGGGGTCCCCCGGGAACCCCAAGGCTTTCAAGTTTGCTTCGAAGGGCTCTCCGGAGCTGGTGGCTCTGTCGACAGTGCGGGCAGCCTTTCTGCCCGCCCTGTTCCCAGCTGTGTTACGAGGTGGGCAGAGGCGGCAGCGGGGATGCCACCCCCGGCCATAGAAACAAGGAGCACGTTAATGACCCCTGCCCAAAATGAGGAGCACGGTAACGAAGGCCTCTACCTGCCTACAAATTGATGCCTGCTGTCACACCCCCAACCATGTTGTCGCTGAGCCCCGATGTGCTGGGGGGGGCACGGGGAGGAGCTGGGGTGCCCGGGAGCCTCGGCTTTGGGGTTTGATCATTTGGGGTCTTGCAGAGCTTGCTGTGTGATGGAGCAGCCCCTCTCGGTGTCCCCACCGGAGAGCTGTCCCTGGGGACATCACCGCAGCGGGGCCAGGGTGGCTTCCCAGCCCCCCTCCCGAGCCGGCCACGGCGGGGGGCTGCACGCTCAGCACCGGGGAGGATGGTGGCTCCTTTCCCCCATTGCCCCCCAGGGTTCGGGTGCCACCGGTCACGGTGATGGGGAGGGGGTGACGGTGGTCTCTTGCGTCCCCCCCGCCGGGGCTGGCGTGGGTGGCGGTGCTTTGCCTGTGCTGGTGCGAGGCTGAGCACCGCGCTGTGCCATGCCTGCCCGGGCTTGTCGGTGAACTTTTATCCTTTTGCCGTGGGGTCTGGGTGCAGGGCGGGAGGGAGGAGGGCTGGATCGCCCCAGGCCCCCCGCATGGGAAGGCGGGATGGAGCCGGGATGCAGCTAGACTCCCCCCAACCTTTGCAGGGTCTGCTGGCCTCCCCATTGTCCCCAACGCCGCGGGGGATCATCCTGTGGGGTCCTGGTGCTGCTCCGCCGTGGGTCAGGGGAACCCCCGGTAAGGAGGGGACCTTGGGGCTGCTCTGCCCCACACTTTGTCCCCCCGGATGGTGTCAGCTGGGGACATGCTGTGCTGCAGGCCCCTTCGTGCAACGGATGCCGGTGGCCATGCCCTGCATCCCCGGTGGTTCAGGGGGATGTTGTGACAATAGCCAGCCCCCCCCCAGTTTGCAAAGGGTGAGAGCGGCAGCCTGGGGGCTGCACCCAGGGAGGGGTGACACCGGAAGGCAGGGGTGGCCGGGGCCAGCGCCAGCAAGGAGCACGTCAAGAGGCATCGGTCCCTGTGCCGTGACACTGGCCAAGGCAGAGCTGGGTGGCGTGGCAGGGTGCTTGGCCAGGTGGGTGGTGGGGCATCGTCCTGCTGCTTTGGGCAGACCCCGGTTCTTTGCTGTGCACCCCAGTGCAGCTGGGACAGAGGGGTTTGGGGCAGTGTGGGAGCTGCTGGGGTCGTGCTTCGTGGTACATGACGTGGGGCAATGCTTTTGGGGCTGAGCACGCTGGGGAGGAGGAACACGCCGTTTCCCCCAAATGGGCAGCATGGGATAGGGATGGGAACAGCGTGCTGCCCCATGCCCAGGGGCTTTGTGGGGGCAGTGGGCACCTCTGCCCACGTCGCGGCCCCACAGCCCTCGGCTCTGAGCAGTGATGTCCCCGTGCTCCCAGCCCTGAGTGCTCTCTGCCACGCTGCCCCGCACACCCTCGACCCGATCCCTATCTCGGCTGGTTGTGCTGGTCCCGGCAGCACCCTGCTCCTGACCTCGACACCCGCGCCCGGCCCCAGCGGGGTGCCCACCGCACCACTCTGACCACAGCCGCTGCCGCCAAAATATTTCCTTCCCCCCACCCACCTGAAAACACCCGTCTCCCAAGCACCCCTCCCTCTTTACAACCCTCCGCTTTGCTTTTGCAGGGTTTAAAGAGGCTTCTCGTTGCTTTTCCAGGCTCTCCAGCCCCAAACAGCTCTCGCTGACCAGGCAGCTGCCTGCAGCCTGGCTGCCTGCACAAGCCCCAGGTTTCCCTCGCGTCCCCCACACGCGGTGCCAGGGCTGAGCTCTGCGAGCCCGTGGGAACGCCGTCCCCGTCTCCTGGCGCAGCCTTGGCCTTGCGGGGAGATAAGGGCTGCCCTGGCGGCATCCTCCCCTGCCTGCTGTGGGCACCCATCCCGCACCCGCTGGGGGGACCTCGCAAGGGTGCAGCCCCCCTCCAGCACCCTCGAAAGCCTTGGGCTGGAGCGTGGCACCCCACAAAAGCAGGGTGCAGAGGGGTGAGCGAGCTGGGTGCAGGGGCACCCTCCTGGCATGGGTGCCAGCAAGCATCCCTGCTCACGGCGGGGTGAGCATCCCCACTGCGGATCGATGGTCCTGGGGTGCCCAAGCCCCGCAGAGATGCCTGCATCGTGCAAAGGGGCTTCTCCCCCTGGTCCCCGGGGAGCAGCTGGGAGGCAGGAGCCGGTGACATGTTTTCCAGCAGGTCTGGTCCCCTCCCTGCCCGGAGCAGGTCTGGCCGGCGGTCCCTCCGCAGGCTGTCCAGCCATGCCGGTTTCCTAATTGCTCCTGTTGTTGGTGTTTTGTAAGGGCTGGGTGGAGCGCTCGGCCGTGCCTTGCGTCAGCGCGGTGCCTTGCACCCTCCCTCCAGGAAATCCAATGTCTCGGCCTGGCCAAAAGCAGGTTTGGTGGAGGAGGAGCTGCTTCCTCGCACCTTGGCCGAGGCCCCGGCATCGCCCTCCCTCCTCTCCTCGCTTCCCCAGAAAGGCTGGGTTGGGGTTTCCCTGCCAGGGGCGCAATGGGGTGGGAAGGGGCTGGGGGTGCTGGGAAGGGGGACTGGAGAGCTTCTGGGGAATGGGGGGACATGTGTGCCGCAGGCTGGGTGTGCAGGCAGCCGGCACCCTGCTTGTGCGGGCAATGCCCGGGATGGGGACGGTGACCCAGGGCACTGGTCACGCTGTTTGTTCCAGGATCCTGCCTGCAGTGGTGCAGCCAGCCCTATAGATTTGCTTTCAGCCCTATAGCTTTGTCTTTGGCCCCAAAAGCACCCATCAGTCGGGGAGAGCAGGGGGTCTGGTTGGTCCCTGCAAAGCCACCCCCCCCCAGCACCAGCTCCTGGGGATTTCCCCTCTTGGGGTGAGCTGATGGCAGCCCCGTAGTGCTGGGGGGTCCTGGGACGCTGCTGGGTCCCGGGCTGGCACAGGGCTGCGGGGTCCCAGGCCACTGTGGGATCTCAAGGCTGGGGGCTCCTGAGCTGCTACTGTGCAGCTGGGGGGGTCCTGGGCTGCCGTGGGGTCCCAGGCCACCGTGGGCTCTGGGGTCACTGCAGGACTGTGGGGTCTTGGGCTGCTGTGGTGCAGCTGGGGGGTCTCTGGTTCCCCCATGTCTCGGAGGTCCTGGTCTGCAGGGGGGTCTCGGGCTGCCATGGCGCAGCCGGGGCTCGGCACCTGGCCGAGGCAGCCACACACACCATTGTAGGCGCCGCGCTGGGACGGAGCCCCGCTGCGCTTGCTGGGCTGCAGGGTGGGGGGAAGCAGGGGGGTCCCACCGGGACCGTCCCCACGTGCCACCCTTGCCGTCCCTGCCTGCCGCCTCGTCCCGGTCTCCCGCTGCCCTCCCATCCCCGACGCTCCGCTCGCTTTGGACAACCCATCCCTCCCGGGGGCTGCCTCGGCGGAGCACCCCGGCAGCAAGCGCAACCGAGACGCCGCGGGACTCGGGGTGTCACGGGACTCGGGATGCCGTGGGACTCGGGGTGCCGCGGGACTCGGGGTGCCGCAGGCCCGTCCGACACCGCTGCCGCCATCCCTCCCTTGGCCGGCTGGCTCGATCCTACAATCCAGTTCTCCTTATTTGGCCACAGTGCTCGGCAAGAGGGGGAGCGGCAGGCGGGGGGGGACGGCGGGCAGGGGCGGGCGGCGGGGACCCGGAGGGGCTGACATCACATCACGACGAGGGAGAGAGAGATGGCGGGGGGGGGGGGAGGTTTTTTTTTT